CTCGTTGGGCTCTACGCCTTCAAGAGTACATGTTCTCTGTAATGTACAAAACAGGGCGATTACATCAGGATGCGGATTGTTTATCCCGCTACCCTGTTGACAAAGGAACCGATACTGACGCTATCATGGACGTTTTTTCCGTGTCGCAGCTGTTGAACATTGGCGAAAAGCAACGTCGGGATGCTTCTTTGCGAGCCATCATTGACAAACTAGAGTCAACACCTCGCGACTCGTCCCTACGAATGTTTTTGGTGAAAGACGGGATCCTATATTGCCGTAACCTTGATTCCTTCGGATCAGACTTACTTCCTGTCATCCCAGCGCATCTGCGTTCCACTGTCCTGCATCAACTTCATGACGCTCCCGTGACGGGCCATTTGGGCGTTTCTCGCACATACGATCGGGTACGACGTCGGTTTTTTTGGCCTGGACTTGCCCGCTCTGTTCGACGCTATGTCGCCACTTGTGAGCCCTGTCAGCGTCGCAAAACGCCGTCTGCCCTCTCAGCCGGCTACCTTCAGCCGATCGACGTTCCCAACGAGCCTTTCTTTCGAGTTGGTCTCGACCTGTTGGGCCCTTTTCCACTCTCCACAGCTGGAAATAAATGGATTGCTGTTGCCACGGACTACGCGATGCGGTACGCAATCACACGAGCACTCCCGACCAGCTGCGCTACCGACGTTGTGGAGTTTCTGCTGTACGACATAATATTAGTGCACGGTGCTCCCCGTCAACTTCTCACTGACCGTGGCCGCACGTTCTTACCAGCTGTCGTTCATGAAATCCTGAGGTCTTGCCATACCAAGCACAAATTTACTACTTTGTACCATCCCCAGTCAAATGGCCTCACGGAGCGCCTTAAGAGGATCCTAACCGATATGCTTGCCAAATACGATGCGCCAGACCACCAGGATTGGGACATTCATTTGCCGTGTGTGACGTTCGCCTACAATTCATCTCGTCACAACACTGCCGGCTATTCGCCCTTCTATCTACTATATGGTTGGGACCCAACTCTACCCTTAGACACTTTACTACCTGCAGCCACTGAATATGCTGGGGAAGCCATTGCCCACGCCGACCACGCGTGCCAAGTCGCCCGTAACCGTCTACAGGCTTCACAGGTGCGCCAACAACAGCTCTACAATTCTCACCATAGGGACGTGCACTTTTCTCCGGGTTCTCTCGTGCTCCTCTGGTCACCTACTCGGCGTGTGGGACTGTCTGAAAAACTGTTGCCACCCTACACTGGACCATTCCGTATCGTTCGCCAAGTGACAGACGTCACGTACGAGATTGTTCCAACCAATCCAACAAAGTCATCGTCAGCTCCGAGCGACACCGTTCACGTGGCTCAGCTAAAGCCCTATTACCCCCCTTCGACAACATCTGCGTAAATTTGGCACCGGGACGGTGCTTTTACCGCCGGGGGTTATGATACATAACAGCCGCTAAACACGACTGCATGAAAGAGGAGGACCAAGTGAGTTTTCGTTTGATGCTGGTCTGGGGCCATCTTGCTCGTCGAGTTCTGTGCACTGTAAATAGACCATTAAACAAGTTACTCGTAACATTATCATCAATTCACATTTTGTTACACTAAATCCTAGTCCTAGAGCCTCACCTTCCATTCCACATGTATCTGCCAGCCACTGTATAGCATGTTGACTGTTAACATATAGTACAATATTGTCTGCATAAAATAAACCTGGAAGCTTCTGCTCAATCATCATGTCACCCCGTTTGTGTGACAGATTAAAACCAATGTTGCTACCTTCTAGTGCTTTTTTCATTGAGACTATGTACAGCATGAATAACAATGGGGAGACTTGCTTGTCTCAGCCCCTTGCTAATTTCAATGTTCTCTTTGCTACATTTTCCTTCCCATTCTATGCAAACTGTATTTTCTCTGTATATGTCCCACACAGTCATGACCTATGCCCATTCCTTTCGATATATCCCACTATTGACAGTGTCAAGGGCGCCCCTAAGCAGGCAGGCAATTGCGTTAAAGGAAAAACGTCACGTAGAGTTCTTGTCTACTTCGCCGATTTTGATAGACAAGTTACTCCACCATTGGAATTCAACATATGTGGTAGCCGAACCAACTGTGCTGAGATACTATATCTATGCTCGGCCTTGTCCTGGTGTCCTTCAGGCACAAGTGGTTCACCTGGATAAGGCCAATCCTGGAAAACTTTTACAGTCACTCTGAAAGAAAATACAGAAAAATCTCATTATTTCAAGGTCACCGGGACGGTAAAAAATTTTGAATTAAGGAAACGTGCGAGAAGTGAGATGCAAGAAACTTCTAGTAATTGAAAGTAATTATAGGTGCCCTTGTTTGTAGTGACAGCAAGTTTGCAGCTCCAAAGAGTGTGTTCTTTAGCAATACCTATTTTCAGTTTTGCCGTAAACACAAAAATAAATGGCTGGCCTCGCTGCTTCTGGCACAGGTGGAAAAAAAAAGGAAAAAGAAAGGTCTTGTTGTTTGTGGAAATCTGCAACTGCAGAAAAGAAGACATGCTTCACTGCAACATAGTGATGGCACACGGGTAGAATGTTACCTTCTCGCGACGTCAGCACGTCGTGATGACACCATTCGTCTATTCTTTCTGGTAAAATAAGAACTTAAGTCACAGTTCTGATGGAATTATTCATGTATTTTAGCTGGAGAACACGATCACTGAAGTTTTCGAATTGAGTTTTGGAACTGAGTTTTCGAAGTAGGCTTTACAGGCAAGAACTCCGCCAGCAGTGCAAGTGCGTAAATTGCTGAAACAAGTCCCCACTCAGAGGTCTGCATAAATTGCAACTTCGTCATACTGTCCTTTATTAATTGTTTAATCATCACAGAAAGACACTGTGCAAATCATAATACCCTGACGTGACGAGAAACATGGGATAGGCTGCCAGCTTGTCACTGCTTTATTGCAGCGAAGCACATCTTTTCCACAAGCACCCATTACCGCTGGAAACGAGACCGCCTTCCTTTCTTCTTTTTTTTGTGTGTGTGTGCATGCGTGCATGCATGTGTGTCAGCAGCATCAGCAATAGGAGCTAGTCTGGGGAGCTTCACCTGTCACTCACTAGTACGGCCACCCTGCATTGCCCTGTAGCTCCTAAGGGCCGTCGTTTCCTTGGATTTGCAGTGAAATCGATATCGGGAATCGTCACATGACATTTAATGTTATTGAATTAACCGGGCTGGCACTAATTGCCACTTCAAATTATCTGTTCAAACCAGTGCAAAATACAGGACCGCAGAAATTCTTCTAATCAAGTAGGATTTTGAAATAACCAAGTTTGAATTAATGTGGTTTTTCTGTACTTTATATAAATGGTACCAATGATTATTGGAGTCATATGTGCATTATTATTGTAGCAAATAAGCAACTGATGGGGCGGAGATTCGCCTTGCTATGAACAGTGCTCACGGACTCAAATGAAACAATTTATTGTTGTACAATGACTGGTGTGCACAATATTTCAACACGATGACATAATTCTAGTGCAAATCTGATCTCGAAGAATAATGTTGGCTCTGATCTGCACTTTTGAGTTGAAATTACAGAGATTTGACCTAAATCGAAGACAGTTGAAATGTAATTATGTGCATCACTTAGCCCTAAATTGTCGTGTTCCAATCCGTGTGTACTGCACATTTAGGAAACGTTTTATAAAATAGCATAATAAAGGTGAATGTGGAGACAGAGAAAAACTCAATAATCTCTGGATTGCACACTAACATACGATACCTGTCCTCGGCTGTTGCAAGTACATCTGACTCACTGAAATTTGCATTCGCTGCTCTGCATTTGCATACTGTATCGCTGACCATAACAGATGACAAAATCATACATTGCCTAGATATGCACTTTTTTATCAAGTTTGCTTTCAGAAGTTCATTTTTAGAATCATCCTGTTCTTTCCAATCATGCATTCATCATTAGAACTTGGGATACAGGCTACAGCCATATTGATGACATGAAAAGAGATGGCCCCATGTATCCATAGGTAAAAGATAAGAAAGGCAAATGTATTCATGCACTCTGCCAAGCTTTATCACACTTTGTCATTATAAGTGGAACTTATATTTTAGAGGGGTTGTTGCTACGAACTCCACGTCGAAATTCCTTAACCGTGAATGCAGTTTTGGTGGGTGGGCAACTGCAATGTAGTGAAGCTAGATGCAAGTCAGAGTGCTGGGTCATTTCCATTTTTTTAACATGTTGTTTGCCAGTATTTTATTTAGTCATCTGCCTAATCCTGGGCAAAAGTGGGTAGTCAATGTCTGCACAATCGCAACTGGATGGCTAATGTCTTTCAGGGTTTTTGTACATTTAATGGCAATTGACAAGATCTAATATCCCATAATGGTACGCTTTGCGTGCACGCACTTTCAATATTAGTTAGAATCATTTTTTATGCTAGCAGTAGAGAGTGTGCATTTCACTGTAATGCTATTGTTCCATGCTGATGATTCCTTCACCATGTTGACTGTGCACACCTCCGGGATTTGGCAGATCATATGACCATTAAGTAGACAGTATACATCAAACCACCTTCATTCTCAGCTTTATGGTGTTTAGTACTTTTGTTGCAATTAGATCAATACCTGTGTGGTCCTGCCGGGAAAACAGAGTAGTGCATCTCCATTACATATAGGGAGAACTGTGCAGAAAAAGCAGTGATGCTATCAGGTGTCATATTTCACTGTTTGCCTAATATATATGCTATTTGAATGCTCAGATTACACACTGTGTAGAATTCACAGTAATTTCAGATGTGTCCTCTTTGATATTCAGATATTTTGGAAAGTCTTGCGTGCCAATGCTACACACAGTTGTGTTGTTACCATGTAAACCTTATATTCTTCGTGCTGTATGATGTTGGAGGTCTTTCTACAATCATTTATCACTTAAAAGGTGGCTGCAAGGAATGGATATTTTCTGTGCTTGTTGTAAGTGTTAATGTTTGCTCATTGTTCTTTATTTTAGAACAATCTCTATGATGTGGTGGGTGCTGTGGACCTTTCGAGGAAGACTGTGCAAAGAATTCGAATGAATTTTTTTCTTGCTAGCATCTACAACCTTGTGGGCATTCCTCTTGCAGCAGGTAGGCAAATCGTGGTTGTTGTCTCATTATACACAGCCTATTGTCCTCTGTTTGCAACTGAATGTGACTGCCATATTTTATTTTTATTTAGCTCAAATGTACCCATAGCACAGTGACATTGATCACAATCCATACCATCACAACAAACTTCCCTTAGTTCCTATCCGTTTTCTGTTTCTTGTCCTCACCCTTTTCCTTCCCTAAAATTATTTTCCGAGCACTCATATTTCGTTTACCCTCTTGTCAAGGGAAGTGGTTATAGCTAGGAAAATAAAGGTGGTGTTATCTCTTTGCAGCCCTTAAGGCAGCATGGCTGCAGTGTGACAGGAGCAAAAAATAAAAAAAATTGAGAGAGAATTGTTCAGACAATTAAGTCAGCATGCAAATTGGGCATCAGCATATCTGAGACCTTTGTTGATCAAACAAGGGATGCCACTTCTATTGTGATCACTTCTGTGGAGCAAGTAGTTCTTCTGTGTACTGTTGTTGGCTAATGGAGTGAAAGCCCATGTAGAAGAAAATTATGAATGAGCAGCTGTGATAAAAAATGAGCAGTCATTAAACAAGGCATGACTCTGGGACTCATTCTTCCCCACCCCAAATGGGCTAAAAGGAGGAGAAGATTATGTGCTTCACTGCAGACAAGTTAATTACACTCAAACCTCATTATAACAAAGTTGCATCTTACCTAAAAAAAAGTTTATTATATCCAAAAATTCATTATAAAGATTTATTCTTAACACTACATCTATTGCAAGACTGTTTTTCATTTACTTGGTTATAACCGATATTTTGTTATATCCAGGTTCAATATATTGGGGTTTGAGTGTAATCTCTTCAGGCAGAGTGAGCTGAGCCTCCCAGGCAAAGTAATTGCTGTCCTGGCAAAGGAAGTGCCCTTGCCATTACATTGGCTCCAGGAATATTGCTTGCGCACCTACTACTTATTGTTGACTATATTCAGTCTGCTGCTGAGCAGAACAGTAACGAAGATCACGTAATGCAAGTAAATGGCTGAAGGCTACTGTTGTGAAAGATACAATCGGTATGACCATGCATCACTTGTTAGGATCATGCAACTATTGATGAAGCCACATTCATGAAATGTAAAGGATTAACATGGTTTTTAGTATTTTTGAAAACAGCACTAAAACAAACATGTGACAAAGTTTGGTTAAAGTATACCTGATGACATCTGGAATAGTCTTGCGTATCCTAAAATTGCTTTGTTCTCAAATTTCTGGTGTTCCTTGTACACTGTTGTATGTGCCATCGTGAAGAGCATCATTATTTGTATAACTATGTTTAAGACTGTTCTACATACCTTTTTTTTGTTTGTTTTTTTCAGAATTCAGTCTCTACTTTGTTAAATTCCACATTTTCACAAAACCATGATTGTCTCTATGCTTGGCATAAATACATGTTTGACTGTTGACCTAATGGCATAAACAAAGGAATGCATTACAGTTAAACCTGCTTATAATGAACCTCCATATAGCGGATTACTCGATATAACGAAGTTTTTCTATTCCCCTCCATTGTTCCATAGAAGCACATGTACAGTAAAACCTCGTTAATTCGAACTCGGTTATTTCGAAACCCCGCTTAATTCGAAGGATTTCGGCGGTCCTGTACTTTGCAATGTAAGTTTGAGTGGATAATTCGAAGCGGCGGCCGGTAACAGCCTGGTTAATTTGAAAACTTTGGGTGCAATGTGCCAGTTTCAGATCGCGATTTCGCCGCAAATCCGCCGAAACGACGGCTCTTAATATCCACAAGGCAATGCAACATATCGGTACTAATGAGTTGTAGCTGAAGCACCCCAGCCTTGCTATTCCTAGCGCAAAAAAAAAAGAGAAGAAAACGGTCTCTTGGTCAACCAAAAGGTGTACTTGCGAAAAACTGAACGTGCTTCACTGCAACACAGCAATGACGCGCGGGCAGCGTCTTGCATGTTTCTATGAATTTCAAGAGGTCATGGTTCACTAATTCTTTCTGGGATCGTCAAGACATTAATAAAGAACAGTTTGGCAGAATTATCGATGTACCCGAACCTCCGATTGCTGGTTGCTCCAGCTATTCGCACCTTTGCACTGGTGGTGAAGTTCGTGCCTGCAACACCTACTACAAAAACTATGTTTGAAAGTTTAAAAGATCATTTCTCCCAGTCAGAATACATTGTGAGTTTTGTCATACTGGTCATTATTAAATTTCTAATTTTACCAGAAAGAATGATCGAATGGTCACATCATGACGTGCTGACGCATCAAGGCGTAGGTGACAAGCTTCCTGCGTGTCATTACTGTATTGCAGTGAGCATGTCTTGTTTTTCACAGGCGCACATTTTAGTTGATCACGACAGCAGTTTTTTTTTTTTTTTTTCAGTGGCAGCAGCTAGGCCCACTATTTCCTCATGTTTGCAGCAAAATTAAGACAAGGTATTGCTGGAAAACATAAATCTTGTAGCCGCAAGCTAGCTGGCACAGCAAACAATGAGCACTGATTACTTTGAACAGTTCTAAGCTCCTTGCATCGCAATTTTTGAATGTTCTGTTAATTCGAAAACCCACTTAATTCGAAGATTTCTCACGGCCCCAGTGACTTCGAATTAACGAGGTCTTACTGTATTTGGGACCTATATGTGATAAAGTAACAGCGGGAGACAACCTTGATATAACGAATTTTTACCACGCACAATCTAGAAATTTCACTCCGCATTTTGGCATTTTGGTTCGAGCATGCATCTTCCAGGGCTGCCCCGCCGCCGACCAAGTGCTAAGTGGCGGCGGCGCGCACGGCGCATTAGGCGAGAGGGAGCGCTCGTTATTGTGCACGGGTGAGCGCGAGGCAGGCAGGCAGGCCTGCACCCCACGAGCCGACGTTCCCACCATTGTCGCCGCCACGGGCGTATGCGGGGGTGTGTCCCCTCTCCATCATCATCATCATCATCATCATCAGCCTGACTACGTCCACTGCAGGACAAAGGCCTCTCCCATGTTCCGCCAGTTAACCCGGTCCTGTGCTTACTGCTGCCAATTCATACCCGCAAACTTCTTGATCTCATCTGCCCACCTAACCTTCTGTCTCCCCCTAACCCGCTTGCCTTCTCTGGGAATCCAGTTTGTTAACCCTTAATGACCAGCGGTTATCCTGTCTACGCGCTACATGCCCTGCCCATGTCCATTTCTTCTTCTTGATTTCAGCTATGATATCCTTAACCCCCGTTTGTTCCCTAATCCACTCTGCTCTCTTCTTGTCTTTTAAGGTTACACCTACCATTTTTCTTTCCATTGCTCGCTGCGTCGTCCTCAATTTAAGCTGAACCCTCTTTGTAAGAGTCCAGGTTTCTGCTCCGTAGCTAAGTACCGGCAAGATACAGCTGTTATATACCTTCCTCTTGAGGGATAGTGGCAATCTACCTGTCATAATTTGAGAGTGCTTGCCGAATGTGCTCCACCCCATTCTTATTCTTCTAGTTACTTCAATCTCGTGGTTCGGCTCTGCGGTTATTACCTGCCCTAAGTAGACATAGTCTTTTACAACTTCAAGTGCACTATTACCTATCTCGAAGCGCTGCTCCTTGCCGAGGTTGTTGTACATTACTTTCGTTTTCTGCAGATTAATTTTAAGACCCACCTTTCTGCTCTCCTTGTCTAACTCCGTAATCATGAGTTGCAATTCGTCCCCCGAGTTACTCAGCAATGCAATGTCATCGGCGAAGCGCAGGTTACTAAGGTACTCTCCATTAACTTTTATCCCTAACTTTTCCCATTCAAGGCTTCTGAAAACCTCCTGTAAGCACGCGGTAAATAGCATTGGGGAGATTCTGTCCCCCTGCCTTACACCCTTCTTGATTGGTATTCTGTTGCTTTCTTTATGAAGCACTATGGTAGCAGTTGATCCCCTGTAGATTTCTTCCAGGATCGACGCCCTGATTCCGCAGTGTCTGCATGACGACTGATATTTCTACTGAATCAAACGCCTTCTCATAATCTATGAAGGCTATGTATATTGGTTGGTTATGTTCTGAGCATTTCTCTATTACCTGATTGATAGTATGAATGTGGTCGATTGTTGAGTAGCCTTATCGAAATCCTGCTTGTTCCTTTGGTTGATTGAATTATAATGTTTTCTTTACTCTGTTAGCAATTACCTTTGTAAATAGCTTGTATACTACAGAGAGCAAGCTGATCGGCCTGTGATTTTTCAAGTCCTTGTCATCTCCTTTCTTACGTATTAAGATGATGTTAGCGTTCTTACAAGACTCTGGTACTCTTCCCGTCAGGAGACACCTCGTAAACAGGGTGGCTAGTTTTTCTAACACAATCTGTCCTCCATCTTTCAGCAGATCTGATGTTACCTGATCCTTACCAGCAGCTTTGCCTCTTTGCATGCTCTTCAAAGCTTTTCTTACTTCTGCTATCATTACTGGTGGGGTGTCATCTGGGTTACTGCTGATTCTTATAGTATTAAGGTCGTGGTTGTCCCGGCTACTGTACAGATCTCTGTAAAACGCCTCCGCTATTTCAACTATCCTATCCATATTGGTAGTTATTTTGCCTTCTTTATCCCTTAGTGCATACATCAGACTTTTGCCCCCCCTTCCAAACAAATATAAAAAAGAGAAAGCTACTTTTGCGCGACGGCAGTGCCACGCTTTTAGTTAGCATCATATATGTGCGATCGCGCTGCATATAGAGGACACTTAAACGAATAGTATTCCGCGGTATCCGTGTCTGTGTCCGTATAGTTCGCTCTTCGTTTTTGACGCCGTGCGCGTGCATAGTTTTACTGTGCATGCATGGTGTAACCCCCGACGACGTTCAGCTTTGCTTCTTTATTTTATTGCAATGCCAATTATATGGACAGTCTTGGCTGGTTTTTTACCGTTGTTGCCGCCGCCATTCACTGTATATGTATACGTATATCTTGTATATGAAAACGTATATATATATATGTATATATATATATATATATATATATATATATATATATATATA